AGATACTGAGCCCATAAGAAATTCAAAACCAAAACCAAACTAAACTGACCCTCCTCCTGCCAACTTATACCTCAGTCTGGTTCCTGGAGAACCAACCCACTAACCGTGCATGCATATATGACTCTATCATTCAGCAACCTGCCACTGGGTTTAGGGCACATAGGTAGTGTGGGGTGGGTGATACAGATGAAAAAGAGTCAGCTCTAACTCTTAGGGAGCTCGTGAATATAATATAGCCCAGAATAGGAACAATCATAAAATGTTGAATATTGTGGCCAGTGGTTAGGAAGAATACAAAGGAGACAGTAAGGGATGTAATCCCAGGCAAGAGAGATGTAGAATCTTCATGCATTATGGCCACTAGTATCTCTAACCTGCTTCCCCAATGCAATGTCAAACCCTGAAGGACAGAACAGACTATGTTGTCTCTCTTCACAATTCCTCATAATTTCTAACAGAGTTCAATACAGTGTAAAAATTGCCAAGCAATGTGAACAAAGCAGAAGACAACACAACCAATAGTTCTACTGTATAGGGAAGGCTTCTGCCACTGGTCCTGCCTTCAGTGTAAAGCTCCCAGGAATTTCCTCCAGATGCTCAGATGTCAATCAAAACTTCATCCATAGCATCTGAGACTATGCAGAAATGCAAGACAAGTTCCTGACCATCAAACAGCTACAACTCATTGTGTGGGCAGGAGAGAAACCAGTTCAAGCTTCAAAAACAGGAACAAGAAAAGGAACTTGGCTAATGGCCAAATGGTGCAGCATGTCCAAACCATCCCTGCCTTTAGCTGGCCAGTTCACTCATCACTAATTTGTCTTCAAAGAGTAGCTAACAGCCTCCACCATTAACCTAAAACTGGGAACCAGCGGACCCCTAAAACTCATAAACACACCTGCAGAGTTTACCTTAGGTCTAAAGAAGAAAAGACCCCTCAAACAAAACCCCACTGTCAAGTGCCTGAAGGACCATGAATCTGGAGAATGTTGCTGGGGTCCAGCATCAGTCCCCAGCTTGTCTCTGCCTCCAGGGCATTTTCATTCAACTGTTCTGCTCTCATCCCAGCTCAGCACACGCCGCCGCCGCTGTCTCCCATCATCTCCTTTCACTGCTTTGGTGCAATCTGTAGCTAACTTCTGCTGTTTCTAAAGTACCATTTGCATCCCTCCTCTGTCCTGCATATGTGCCACCAGCCTCTCCAGTGTTGAGGTCACACTCTGAAAACAGAGTCTCATCTCTGCAAGAAGTGATGTCTGGTGATGGTTTTCTGTTGGCCATGTCTGTCTAACAATCCTGGGACACCCCTTCCCAAGTGTTTAAGACCTTCTTCTAGATAGCCTACCCTACACTGACTTTGTTTTATTTTCTGAGATCTCCCAGAATCCCAGCTGCATCCCGTTTACCTGTCCCTCTGCTCAAACTATCTGGCTCCTGGAGTGTCTGTCTCCTCTTGACAATTTACTGCATCTACCTAATGCTTACTACATGGACCAAGCTGAGGATCCAAAGAAACAGGAAAGGCAGTTTGGGTCTGCCATTTTCCCAGTTCTTTTTTTCCTCTAGAAGCTCCCATCTCACATGGAGACTCCATCACACGGAATTGCTTTTCTGCAATACTTCTGAAGATACAATCAGCATGACTTTCCTGGGCCAGGGAGTTGTTGGTTCAAGCTCTTTTGCCTTCAGCTGAGAAGACAGACTCTTGGCTTTCCAAGCCAGAAACAAAAAAAAAAATTGGTATTGCTAATGCTACTCTCCTGTTGCTTCTTAGGAATGATGCTCATTCCTTTTAGAATTAATTTATCAAGCCCTAGGATTTCCCAGAGATGGATGATAGATTTGCTGAACGGAAAACTGCCAAGTTGGGCCTTTGGAGTGAATCCAGTGTTCCATAAACTATGCTGCTTTCCTAATCACATAAGGGACCACGAAATGACAGACAAGAAAGAGATATGCAGACAGCAGAATGACATAGCAACATCACCCTGTGCCTCCTGGGACGTGGGGAGATTTCTACATTATCATCCTCAAACCTCTGCTCCACAACCCTCCTGAGCCAGGGTGTTTGTTACTCAATGAGAGACAACCCTTAAAAAATGGGAGGAGCTTCTACAGAGTCTCGGAAAGCAGTAAAAAGCAAGTAGTCAGTCGGGCGGTGGTGGCTCACGCCTTTAATCCTAGCACTCGGGAGGCAGAGGCAGGCGGATCTCTGTGAGTTCGAGGCCAGGCTGGACCGACAGCCTCCAAAACAATACGGAGAAACCCTGTCTTGTAAAACCAAAAAAAAAAAAAAAAAAAAAAAAAAAAAAAGAAAGCAAGTAGTCTATGGAAACTGCCTCACTCCTTGCCATCAGGGGACCACCACGGCAAGTTCAAGAGGGACATGAATGCCTCCTGCCACCTGGACAGTGTGAGAGGTTTATGGAGTGAGAACAGCATTAGGAAGAGACTGCCACTCCTTTTCCACAGTGCTAACTAATCAGTGGAATCATGATAATTATATTGAGTATGTATATATACATATATATATTGCAATTTTGCAATTTTTACTCTACAAAGCACTAGGATCAGTAATTAGTGGGATTCTTAGAGATAATCCAACTGGGTAAAATGACAGCTGCCACTTACTGAAATGGCCAAGAACACTTTCCCGGTGTTAATTACTTGATCCTGATAGAACCGAGGTTGGAATGAGAAGTAAGTAACTTGCTCCTGAGAGAGACACTAAAGTCTTTCTCATTCTAAAGTTTATTTTTCTTAACCTTCTACAGGGCATCCTAAGTGCAGAGGAGGCGGCGGTCCTCACAACTCAACTCCCTCCAAAGCAAGCATGTGTGTGTGCACAGGAGCATATAGTCTGCCATCTCTCCCAGTTACAGACGCTCACCGGGAGGAGGTACAGGTCCACGAAGAATGCTGACTTCTCCTTAGGGCAAAGGTCAGCCTCTGTGGGTGAGTGTCTGTCATTTCGGCTGTACCTGACTCTGCCACAACAGTGTGCACTTGACAGGATGCAAGCAAAGCAAGAAGCAGAAACAGCACCGATTCCGGAGCTTTGTCACAAAGGGAACACTTACAGACTGAAAATAATGAGTGAGACTAAATGTCATTCAGCATAATGGCTCATGACATTAAAATAAATGTTCAAGTCGTGAGATTCAAGCACACAAGGAAAGAAGTGACTGCAGGAAACAGTGAGGTGCAAACAAATGGTGACAGCTTGTGGGAGCTGGCTGCCCTGCTCTTCCGGGCACATCTGACCTGAGTGACAGAGTCCTTCTCACACAAACTGTCAGTCCCTTGGACAGGCAGGGGCGTTGGGAACTGCAGCAGGCTTTGGGGTGGGCACAGCAGGATGTATGCCACTTGTCCCCTTTTCCTCTAACCACCAGGAGTCCTGGAGGCTCCCTCCCCTCTCCCTCGGTCCTCCAGCTTCCTTCCACCCACAGAACAGGTTGGTGGACCATGGCAAAGTTACTGAGATTGCTGAAGTGTCAGGGACAACATGTCGGGTGCCGTCTACCACAAGTCCTGGAAATATACTTAGATGCTCACAGATGCCTACTAAATACACCTATTGGATCACACGATTAGAGAAGATCCAAAAGCCACCTGTGAAGCAGAATGTTGGTGCCTTAAAGTCATGAAAACACACATGCATGCGTGCATTTATGAATGACAGTTACACATGTTACACCCTGCAAGAGTCCCTGGCACAGTTACTGGAATCCTTACACCCTCCCTTTCTGCCTACGTTGCCCCGTGAAACCTACCTACTCTAAGTTGAGGACCATAGCCACCCTGTGAGGACTAAGGGCAGCTCAGAGAGGTAAGTCCCAGGGCCCATGGTGGCTAGGAGTTTGGGCAAGTCTTTTAGTAAGCCTCTACCTCTGCAAAATGGAGATTAAAAAATTAAAAACAAACAAGACAACCCCTTCCCCCAGCTAGATGTCCTACCCTGATTCCTGAACACGCATTTCCTATACCCACGCCTGATCTAACTGGCCTTCGGCCAATTCGTCCCCACTGTTGGCACTGCTTGGAAAGTGTGAAGACTTGACTGTGTATAGGTCTGTGCTGGGAGACTCCGGGCAGGTGGTCACGGTCTGTGGAGCAAACAAACTTTCAGGGCTGTGCTAGGTGCACAGGACTATGATTGCTGATAGAAAGTGAGTGGTGTTGGAGCCTGGACCCCAAGTGGGGTCCTGGAGGGGCGGTGCAGGCTGGTGGAGGTGGGCTGAGCCTGGCGGAAAACAGACCCGTAGTTGTGGGCAGCTTCCTCCTGTTGCTCAGTACTGGGGAGAGGCGGAGGAGGAGGATATTCATTTCTCTCCTAGAAGCAGCCACCTATCCTATCGCTTCCCTAACTATTGATTATGAAAAGCCCATGGCGCCTCTTAAAGGGGAAGACCCGCTCGGCGTGTCACAGCGACTGCTTTAGGACCTCTCATCCAGGGCCCTCCTCAGCTAGCCAAGCCGCAGGGATGGGCCAGCACTTCTGCACCGGCTTGCCCAGCAGTTTGAAGAACCGCAGACACAAGCCGAGCCCAGAGCCATGAGCTCTGCCCACGGGTCTTTTCTTCCCACAGACTCTGAAGCATGACCTCACAGCCCTAGGATGGAGGACCCGGCAACACACGGAAAGTTACTTCCAAAGGGTTGCGCCGGTTTCCGAAGAAAACTACACAAGCCAAACCGCAGATTCCTCGGGCCCTCCCCCACCCCACCCATCAGTGAGCGCCAAGGCCGCCGCTGGAGACCCTGCCACAGTGCGATCCATGGGCAAACGTCCCTCCAGTCCCTCCGACGCACTTAAGTGCAGTGGGGTAGGAGGACGCCCCACAGCCAGTTTCCAGTCTCGGTCTGGAAGAGCTCGAGCTGCCGGGGGACCGGCCTCCTGCCCCGCAGCTCAGAAAAATACTCTCGATTTCCTGCGCTGGCCTCCCCTCTTTTTCAACCCCAGCCCTCCCGGCAGGCAGGGTTGCCCCCTTCTCTACCTGCTGCAGTCACAGGCTCGCCCTCGCTCTGCTCGCCAGAATCTGAATCCATACTGTGGGCTTCCGCCCGCGCATCCACCGCCGCCGTCTGCGGGGCGCTGGAGCCGGCGTCCCGGCTCCGGTGGCCGTGGCACACTCCGTATGGGCTGCAAAGAGTCTGGAGCTCGGACCGTGCAGAGTGGACAGTGTGTGGCCAGACACTAGGGCCAGGGGGTGGCTCCGCAGAGGCCAAGCCAGCTCCTGTGGCCCGCCCGCCGCCCGCCGGTGCCTGCACGCGAGGGGGGGGCAGGAGGGGGACGGGAGGGGTAGGATGTGAGGGAGGGGGAAGAGGAGTGTCCAGTGCCCCAAGGCTCCTGGCTTGAGATTAAGTAGCCCGGGTTGCTTTACACCCAGAGCCCTGGAATCGAAGCCTGGCAAGGTGGTCCGAAGTCCCCTTCTTTGGGTGTGGCAAAGTTTGCAAAATTCTTCAGAGAGAAAGCGCCTCTGACCATTAAAAAGGGAGTTATTAGGATTAGGGCTGTGAGACTGCATGCGTTTTAGTTCAACTTCATCCCTTAGACACGAGTGAAATCTCTCTGTGTCTGTTTCCTCGCGTGGAAAAGTGGGCAAATGGTCTTGCAGGGATATTGTGGGATATATAATACCGGTTCGCTTGTTAAGAAACAGGCAGTGGGCCTTATGCCTAGTGACAGAGTAAACAACTAGTCAGGTAGCCATAACTCCCGCCGTTCTTGCTCTTCTCCGCGTGGGCGTGGCCTGTGAAGCTGGTTCTCAGAGCTGGGCCAGGTCCCAGTCTGAGCTGTCCTGCAAGGCTGGACCCGACCTGCCAATCATTCTCCTGAGCCAATTTTTGCCTCCACCTTAGGAGGCAAGGATTGCTTTTAAAACATTTTCTTTAATGGGGATATGACTAGTGGGTAAGAATACTTGGCGTTCAAGCATGGGGAACTGAATTAAAAAGCCCTGCGTGGCCCCCATAGGTGCCTGTAACCCATGGAGGACAGCCACAGGAGAACTTCTGGGACTTGCTGGCTGTCAGCCTGTCTCCAGGTTCAATTAGAGATCCTATCTGAAGGGGGTTAGATGCTAGAGAATGACCTGACAGACTCCTGGTGTCCTCCTCTGGTCTCGGAGCTGAGGAGGAACCTCTTCTTACTGATGGGATTAAATACAAAGTACTAAACTTTCTCAATGTCTCCTTCCACTTTATTATTATTATTATTATTATTATTATTATTATTATTATTATTATTATTATTATCTAATCAAGAGGCCAAGCCACGGAGGAGAAGCACTGAGCCGGAGAGCTATTGTTAATTTCTGAGTATATACATGCTTTCATTGTATTTTTATAGGCTTTAAAATTCACATAACCCTAAGCCTGCTTTTCTTGAGTATAAACTACCCATAGTGATTGCGAACTATTGACGTGAGAGAAAAGAAAACAGGAAGAAAATGTCCACTTAGAGGGGCCAGCTTCCCAGTGTGTCTCTGAACATTCATTTTGTCCCAACTGAGACCCAGGGGTGAATTTAGTTTGAACCATTTGAAATTGCATTTTGGAGATGGGAAACATAGTTGAAATTCTGCTATGGTATAAACTCAAACTATAGTCATCCCCATTTCACAAATGCGGAATCCGGGTCTCTGGTCCAGTAAGTACATGAGGGAGGATTCAAATCAAGGCTGTCTCGAGTGGACCGATGCTGCTTACACTGTGGTCCAGTGTTACCGGCAGGTTTTGGCTTCTCACCTACCAGGTAGCCACCTTATTTAGTGAGAGACGGACCTCACAGAACATGATTAAAGCGGAAAGTTTTCTGAAAGACCGAACTCACGGGCCTCAGTGATAAAGTTGGATTCAATGAATACTTGTAAAAAGCTCCTATATAAGAAGTATGCTTTTGGGCAAATGGCCGGCCTCTCTCAGTCTCCTCCTGTATTAACGTTTCTCTCACAGAGGACTGTGAGGGAGTAAAAGTGATGAGCGTGGAAGCAGCTGTCTAACACTGGCTCAGTGTTAACGTTTGATAAGGGAAAGAATATAAATTCTTTGGTCTAATGGGTCTCCTTTAGAAAAAAATAAAAACAAAATCTTTAAAAAAAAAGAAAAAGGGAAATGCAAAATTAGGCCCAAGTTAATGCTCAGAAAAGAAACAGCTAGGTCATTTTAAAAGTTTGCTGGAGGAGGGGGCAGTGGCTGGAGAGATGGCTCAGTGGTTAAGAGCACTGACTGCTCTTTCAGGGGTTCATTTCCCAGCACCCATCTGGCAGCTCACAACGGTCTGTAATTCCAGTTCCTGAGGACCTGACACCCAGGGAAAAACACCAAAAATATAAAATAAAAATTAATATTTTTAAAAAAAAAGTTTGCTCTGCTAGATCTGATAGCTCAAGCCCATAATCCCAGCATGGGGAGGCTGAAACAGGACTGGTGAGCACAAGTTCAAGGTCAGCCTGAGCTGCAGAGTGAATTACAGGCCAGACTGTCCTGCAGAGTGAGACCCTGCCTCAAAAACATGAGTAAAGAATTTTTAAAAGTTTGCTCTAGCCGGGCGGTGGTAGCTCATACCTTTAATCCCAGTACTCGGGAGGCAGAGGCAGGCGGATCTCTGTGAGTTCAAGTCCAGCCTGGTCTGCAGAGTGAGTTCCAGGACAGCCTCCAAAACAATACAGAGAAACCCTGTCTCAAAAAATCAAAAATAAAAAAAGTTTGCTCTAGACACTTCACAGAGGAAAAGTGGAACAATAACCTCACACAACACAGCACATTGGGCTGAAGGCATTTGGAATGGAGAGCACGTGGCTTAGTGACTGACAACTTGCAGTGCATGTTTAAGATTCTGAGTTCAATGTCGTTGTCCCCCCCCACCTTCCCCCATACTTCTAAAAGCCAGGTCTAAATTCAACAACAGGCATATGAGTTGCTCTCTGTGTCTTTTGTTTTGTTTCCCTGCACTTGGTGGGTCTGTTTTTGTTTTTATTTATTTGTTTACATGTGTTTCATGAACAAGTGCTCTATGAGAGTTATGTGGGTCCAATCAATGCCTAAGAGCAAAAATGTATCAGGAACATTCTTGTGCTGAGAGTGACAGAGAAGCCCAGGAACACATATTCCTGATGCATACCTGCCCATCAGCCACCAGACTGCCTCTGAATACCAGCTTTTCTGAGCTCAGAGATGGTCAGTGCTTGTGGGTGCATTGGAGAAAAAACTGCCTAAACTGCCTGGGAAAGTCTAGGGGATGCGTCTTGACATGGTAATCCCTACTCGGTTAGCTACTCCCAGCCTCACATTTCTGCAGGATGAGACAGATGGAGAATGAAATGTTGTATGTGCAATTAAACAACAGAAGAGAGAGATCCAAGCTAAATAATGTCTTCATCCTAGTTTCCTGTGATATGCAATATGTTGTCATGGGACAAGACAAAGGGAACTGATTGCTGGCATTTGAGTTGAAGGAGAAGTGTTAATAGAAAACACATTATCTGTGCCCCCAGATGGAAAAGCCCCTGCCAGACAATACAATATCTCATGACCATCACATGAACATGGTGACGGTGAAATCCAAGGTGCGATTTTCTCCTTACAAACCCATCCTGGCATTTTTTTCCTTAAAAAATATTTGGGAACTGAAGGGGGAAATGGATTTCAGTAAAGCCTCTGTGTAATTTTAGAAGAACGGCATCACTATGCAGGCTTGAGTCTAGAGTCGGAACATTGCAAACCACCTTCCTCAGTATTTCCACTACATCTTTGGAGCACGGCAACTCTTAAGACACGGGAACGTCTGACTCTCATTGGCCATTTCTTAACTTCAGCAAGCAGAATTGTTCACTTTTTAGAGAAACTCCCTATCTGCTGGAAAAAGTATATCTATCTGCAAGGTGTCAAGAAATGAAAACAAAGTAGATCCATTTCTGTTAAGGCAATAATACTCCTTTAATCTGAGCCAGGGCTATGACTCATATGCCTGTCTCCTCCTGTGGGATGGAAAGGGAGTGTCTGCAAATCTCTTGACAGCAGAAGGAAGGGAGGCTTCAAGGAAGGTGGTTTTCAATGCTCCAACTCCAGATTCAAGTGTGCCTGGGCTGAGGTGGTTTTGACCCAGAAGACAAGGAGTTGTCCAAGACAGCCTCATTATTAACAACCTATTTCAAGGCAGACATAAGGCAGCTTCTGCCAGAACCATCATGGCTCCAGAGGAGCTGTCACTTAAAGGTAGTTTTGTGTTGATGTAGCAGGGGCTGGAAGGCAGCCTTGGAAGAAGGGAGGGGTTTTTCACATTTCTTTATTTTTAGTAAAAATAGGATTTTACAATTCCCACTCCTTTCAAATGCAGTACACTGTGACTATAAAAAATAGGAAAAGTAAAAAGGAGGAAAATAAAAAAGTCCTTAATAATTGTGCTAGTTGTAGTCACTGCTAGTGTACTGTGATGGCTCATCAACTTGTCACGTACAAGAAAAAGGAACCTCAGTTGAGTATTTGCCCCCATCAGATTGGCTTTTGGGCGTGCCTGTGGACAGTTTTTTGGTTGCTAATTATTGCAGGGAGAACAAGCTTACTGTGGGCTGTACCATCCCTAGGCAAGTGGGCAAGAGCTGAATAAGAATGGTAGCTGGGCTTGAGCCTGGAAGAACTCCAGGAAATAGAATTCCTCCATGGCTCCTGCTGAAGTTCCTGCCGTGGCTATGTGATGAAGCAAACCCTTTCCTCCAAAGTCGCTTTGTGTCATGGTGCTTCTCACAGCAACAGAAAGCAAACCAGTATGTGTATCTTCTGAAAATTTCCCCTTGTTGGCTGTACAGTAGTCTACTTGTGTAGGCTTTGTTTGTTTGTTTTCTTTTTTAAAAAAACTGGCAGAAGACTGGTAGGGGCAAGGGAATGAGTATTAAGTACATTCTTCCCAGTCCTCTATCCCTGAATCTTGGCTTTCTGATGACAGCTGTGTCTCCCCTGTAACCTCCATCTTTTGCCAGGTGATCCCAGAACCTAGGTTGCTGTCACAGCATCTCCTGTCTTGTGTCCCTCCAGCCCAGAGTGGCAATGGTTATCTGCTGCAAGTAATGTTCAGATTGCCTCACTAGCCCCGATTTGACTTCTCCACTCTTCCATTACCTGTGCAATCAATCCCCCAGATTACTTCACCTTCTTTGAAAATAAATAAGATGTTTTCCTAATTAGACTTCATTAGGGCCTAGTCAAAGAATAATGGTTCCTGGACAGTCATGGGCAAAGATATTATGGGAGGCTGGAGTTCCAGAATTTTAGGATTCGTT